CGCCCCCTCTATGGAAGAAGCCTTTGGGTTTGGGTTCTTAGTTTTGTCTTTCAATGATAACCCTGTTTAGGCATAGAGGTTTAGGGTTTAGGGTTTGGGGGGTTCGTATGATTGTGCTCGTTTTTGTATGGTGAGATTCTGAGACCGCAATGTTTCAGATCACCACGGGGCCCTTGATCTGGAGGCAAAACGGTTGCAATTGCGCCCCGGATTTAGATTGATCCGGGTGCCAGCCAAAGTCGATGTGGGTAAGATAGAGCACATTGACCTCAGGTTCTGTAGCTGCCATCCAGCTGATCCAACCCCCCGGGAGGGATTGAAAGACCGAACCTTCGAAGTACATTCGTTGGCTTCGCAAATGCTGACACGCCAAGCGGTTCGCGCGTTGCAAGCGGTTTGTTACCGTCTCAAACCCAGACCCCCGGGAGGATCTAGAAAGTAGATCCCCTAATTTGGAGCCCTATACTACTAAGGGTACTTCACAGGAACCCCCATTAAGGGATCTACTTTTTGGATCCTCCCGGGGGTCTGGGAAACTGTCGGCAGGCCTTTACTGGCCAGGAGGACGAGCCTTGCCTGATGTTGTTGCGTGGCCTGCTGCCGGGTCTTTTCGCGAGATGCTACATGTGCGACAGACTACGAGTGGAAGGAGTCCGCGATCCGTGCCTTAGAGATCTGTGCCGGGCTCTTCCATCATATAACGGCGGTGATCGATCTTGCGGCTCGGATGATCGTTGCATCCATCGGTCCATCGATCATGTTGTACAGAAGCTCCAGCGGCCCTGTCCTGTGCACCTGAAGCGCGATGTCCCGCAAGACGCGGGGGATCACAGCCGCGTTCCTAGAGACCTTGCGCGAAGATGCTGCTCCTACAGGCTAAAGCAAGTAGGCAATGTTTGACAACATGTGGGTGCTTGTCAAGATTAGGATCCCTTTTTGGGTCCCTAATATAGTACGGCACCTAACATTTAGGGTTCCCAAAGAGGGACCATCATTTTGACAACCACCCATGTTTAAGCACTGCAGAAACTTGTACACCAAACCGGAAACATCTCAACTGGTTTAGTTTGTAGTGTTCTGAATAACTAGAAATACTGCTTCGTGTGGTTTAAGAACCGGACATAGCGGTAGTGCAAAGATTTAAAGACCTAGTGGATTTAGTCAGGCCCCCATAGTGCGCCTTGACCCCTGAAGCCCCAAACCTACACCTTAGGACGCACCGGTCGGAGCCCTAGACCCTAGACCCTATCAGCCCTAAGCCTTCTTCGCAGTTGCAAGCAAGATGCGGAACAAAGCCTAAACGTAAGCCCCCCAAGGTACAGGGTGCAGGGTCAGCACGGTCTCGGGCCTGAAGAAGTTCAGCCGTTAACCATGAACTCTCAAGCTGCAAGGCCCGAAGCCACCGCTCGGAATCCTAAGCCCTGGCGCGTGCTACGAAGACGATCTCGATGACCGTACACCCCAAAAGCGCACTAGACGCATCGGTCCCAAACCCTCCTCAAGAAAAGAGCCCCAAGCCCGCTATCCTGGATCCTACAACCCAAGCAAGCATCAAACTTGTAAATCCTGGTAGAACTCTTAAAAGCTCTAAGCGTCACGTCCTAGAACCATAAAACCCCTAAGCCCCAAGGCCTAAACCTTCAACTCTCAGCCCTTGAAACATCTAGCGCTCCTCATATTCAAGGCAGGCAAGCAAAGGAAGCACAGCCACGACAAAGACTCGGGCGTCGGAGAGCCCAAACCGGGTTTCGGGGTGTTTTGGTCTTGGGCTTAGGGTTTAGGGTTTGGGATCATGCATCTTTTCGGCATGTTTATCGGTTGAGGAGTGTAGGATTTACAGTTGTTGGCTCTGGGGTTTGGATGCGTCAGATGTCGTTTGTGCATTTTCCACGGAGCTTTGTAAAGGGTCTTGCAAACCCGTGAGCAAAAGCCCCAAACCCAAGAAACCCCCAAGCCCCAAACCCTAAACCCTCAGGCCAAAACTTATTTGTTGGCATGCTGCAATGAGAGCGATGTGCAAGATTGGGAAGCCAGCATGGATTCCGTCCAACAAATGATAGCTTCGTGGTATGAGCTTTTCAGGACCGGTTCGGTGTGGACCCCCAATTACCGGGATTAGGGTTTCGGGTCAACAAACCTTTACCAGTCCGTGGTTTGCTTCGCATCTCGAGTTCTGGGTTCACATGCTTTGAGTTGTAGAATTTCTACGCCTAGGGTTTCGGGTTTGTGGACTTGAGTTTTGGGGCTTAGAGTTTTCGGTTGTAAGTTGCAGGGGGTGAAGGGTTTAAGATTTTCAAGCTTTACCCCCAGCCCCAGGCCCTAAAACCTCGAAACGCAGGCTTTGAATCCAAGCTGTCCCTTGAATCGTGGGGCCTCAATCAGTCGGGCTTGCTCGAAGACAGGTAGCCTACCCTAGACCTGTGCATATAGGATCCTGTGGAGTAAGGTTTACGTGTTGCAGATTCCAGGGTTCAGGGCTTTCGTAGGTCAGAAAAGCACGCCACCGTTGTTCTCCATGAGCGTGAGCGGCGGCCAGGGTCAAATGCCGAGTGCATCTCTGCGCTGAATGATGAGTGGAAGTGTGGAAGCAGCTTAAAGCGATCATTGAGACTGGAAATTCCTAGGAGAGTCTTCTGAGGCATGCAGGAGTTCCGAGTGCAGAAATTTGATCCTGGAGCGCATGAAAGAAGATCCGAGCGATCGATAAACCCTATACTTCCTGTTATCCTCAAGCTTAGACCCTATAAAACCTCCAAGCCCTCATAGCCAAAACCCTCAAATCCCAAACCCCTAAGCCCCACAACAATACTGAATTCTTCCTGCAACTACCTCAGAGCCTTCCCTAAACCCCTGAACCCTAAACCCCAAAACCCCTAAACCCCAAAACCCCCAAACCCCTAAAACCCTAAACCCCTAAACAGGCGTCGCTCTCGCTCGAATTGTCTGCTGACTGCTTGCATAAACCCCTAAATCCCTACACAACTAAACCCCTAAACCCCTAAACCATAAACCCTTTTTTTGAAACAAATCAACACATAAACCCCTAAATCCCGAAACCCTAAACCCTAAACATGTTTTTTTTCTCAAAAAATCCGAAACTTTTTTAAAAAAAATCCTAAACCCTTTTTTCAACCAATCCTAAAATTCCTGAAGCCCCTAAGCCTTTCTCAGGTGACGGTGCAGATGGTTTCGGCCATGGCTCGCGCCGCAGCAGACGGCCCGGGAGCCCTGAGGGCCCCCTGTTTTTTTTTTCAAGGGTTTTAGTTTTTTTTTTTTTAAGTTTATTTTTTTGTTTTAGGGTTTTAGGGGTTTAGGGGTTAAGGGCTTAGGGGTTTAGGGGTTTAGAGTTTTTTGGTTTAGGGTTTTGGGGTTTAGGGGTTTAGGAGTTCAGGGGTTTCAGGCTTTAAGGTTTATGGGTTTCAACCTGGTTTTGCAGGGTTTTACAGCGTCCTACATCGTTTTGTAGTGTTTTAGACGGTTTTGCAAGGGTTGTTGATTATGACTCTGTAAGGGTCGTATAGGTTTCTTTTCTATAAGGTTTAACAAGGTGCTAAACGGTTGAAAGGGGTTGGATAAGGATTGTGTAATGATGAATGCATTCGAGATCGACATAAGCGTATACATGTATGTAGTTATTGACACATAAATTGCGCATGTGCATGCGTGCATTTTTCCAGATGCGCAGGTGTGTACTGTATATGCGCCTGCTCATTAGAAGGACGAATGTGTGCATATAGCAAGTCACAGGGGCCCGGTTAAGGGTAACAGGCGCTTGGGGGGTCGAGGATCTAGTGTAGAGGATGGAAGTACGAGAGTGTGTCAGTGCGTGTTTTTCTGTGTTTTTGATATGCTAAGGCTGCTAAGGACTGAGCAGCGATATCTGATACACGTAGAACCGATTCGTCTCCTAGTTTTGGTTTCGAAGTCCCTTAGGCCCTTAACCCCTAAACCCTAAACCCCTAAATCCCTAAACCCCTAAACCTTAAACCCCTAAACCCTAAACCCCTAAACCCCTAAACCCTAAACCCTAAACCTCCAAACCTGAAACCCCATAAAGCCAAATCCCTGAACACATAATCTTCCCGGGGCCTCTGGGGCAACAAGGCCCGCGAGCTCGGGAGCCCGGGTGGGTAGGTATTTAAAATTATGGTTCTTTTTTGGGTACCCTAAATATTAGGTGCCGTATTATAATAGGGACCCAAAAAGGGACCCTAATATTGACAACCATCCAGGTACGTGTCAACCCTTCTGAGCTCGCATCGCACTCTTCGCAATCGCAGCATTGTTAAAGCCACTAAAAGACAACGATCAAGCTTCAAACTTCCTTAAACCCTAAATCCTTAAAGCCCTAAACCACAAAAGACCTAAATACACATCACGGACATCAATACGTTACGATCTCCGAGGCGCTGCCTTGGAAAGGTGGCTCGGGCAGGCGATCCGCTTGTTCCGTTTGTGTAGGGTTTGGGTTTTAGGCTTTGGTTTAGAGTTTAGGGTGTTATAATTTGACATTTTAAAAGTAGGGTGTGCAAGGATTTTTTGGGGGTGTCTTGTAGGGTTTTTACACGAGTCTCGTTGGCATTTGTAACGGAGGGTTTTCTCTGGGTTCTACAGTGTTTTTATTAACCGGGATCATCATTCTAGGATGCCCAGTAGTACCCTTATTCCCTTTTTGTAGTCCCTTATAAAGTTACCCAATACCAAAAAGAGAGGCCTTTTTATTCTTAGGTTACTGGGTATCCTAGTCATTGGTACTTGCAGAAATGCATTGTGGGGTTCGCAGCCAGCGTAGCCACTTTGAGCAGAGCCTCCTTGCACAGTGCGTACCCGGAAGTCCTAAACCCTAAACCCCTAAACTCACTCACTCACTCGCGCCAGAGGGAAGTCCTGTGCTATCTACGGCATGCAGGGCCGAAAAGCATCCCTGCTGTAGGGAGGCGGCCAGAGGAACTACAAAGAGGGCAGCAAAAGCAGGCTGTACAAAACAGGAAGCGAACAGCTCAAGCAGCGGGGTATGCCCAGAAAGCTCGCAGAGACAGCGAGGGCGGGGCGGAGGGTCCCGCGAGGGCCGAACGCACGGAGGAGGCCACGGGGGCCGAGCAGGCCGCAAGGAAGATGCGACCAACAGGGGACCAGAAGTCCAAGAAGACAGCCGCAGGAAGCAGGCGGCGAAGCAAGGCAAGCCCAAGGTGCCCGGGGTGCCCAGAAATCCACAGGGCTCCTTTCAGAAGGACTGACTTGCAGACCATACGAAAAGAGACCATGGCGGCAGCCAACTCCAGCAGGGACCAACGACCGACGGTGGCGTCAGCCAGCGACACAGAGGCGCCCAGGCCGCCCGACGAAGCCGAACGAAGGACCCCGAGGCGACGAGTGGCACGGTGCTCCCATGGCGAGAAGAGCTCCAGGGCAGACCACATGGACCACAGACGATGCCAGGAGGAAGGCAGGCGGAAGATCCCGCCGAGGGCAAGAAGCCCAGGCCACCAAGGAGAAGGTAGAGCCCAGTCATCGCAAGCGGCCGCACCTTGGGGGCAGGGCTCAACGGACCGGGGTGGGAGCCGACCCCGTGGTGACACGATGCAGGTTGCCAGGCACCAGGTCAGAGAGAGCCGGCGAACGAAGGACCGCGTCCCACTCCGCTTGAAGCTCGGCCGCGGTAGCAGGCACGCCCAGGCGATCCGCGCGTCGTTGGACCGGGGTGGCATTGCACGGCCCGCAGAGCCGTTGCGGAGGGACACCTCTGTGAGCAGCGCGGCCCTTGCGCTTAGTGCCGGAGCCGTACTGGTACACCGGGCCGACAGTAACCCGAAGTCCGTGCAAGCAGGAACGCTGCGTCTGCAGGTGGTATTTCAAACGGTCAGAAGAATGAAAGTCGTGCATGCACCAGAGGCACACGGAGCCCGCCATGTACGCGGTAACATCAGAGAGGACTCCATGCTTGCGGTGAAGGTGGGCCCGGACAGCGTGCAGGCTAGGGAAGATGACCTGACAGACAGGGCAGCAGTAGGATTGCGCAGCACCAAGCACGTGAGTAGCTTTCCGCGTCGAAAGGTCGTCCCACAGCTGGGCGCAGGCAGCATAACGGTGTCCGAACTTGCTCAGGGCCTTGCAGGCGCGGAGCAGGGCACGCCCATGGTTCCGCACAAAAAGGACCGTCACCGCCGGGGGCCGGGCCGGATCCCAGATGTCAAGGGAAACTCCCACTCGCATGCAGGCCGAGACAAGGGCCTGGCACCACGGGAGCGCCCTGTTCCAGGCGGCATCAACAATGTCGCGGACAGCCAAAGGTGCTTTGCAGAACAGCTGCACACACAGCCGGCATTGGCTGAGTACAGTCGCAAGGTCCGGTGGAGGGACGTCCGCAAGCAGCCGGAGGAGCGGAGTAGTGAGCTTATGCCCTACTTGCCACGAGGACAAGAGAATTCGGGCCGTGCGCTCAAAAAGGCCTGCCAGCGGCGCGGTCGCTCTGCCCGACTCCGCAAGAGACATAGCGAGCGAGGAGTACGCCGACGGGAGAACTCTGCCCGCAACCCAAGCACGCTTGAGCTCCCACGGGAGGCAGTTGCTGCACAGGAGGGTGCGTGCCATCGAGGCCGCAGCGGAGCCCCGTTGCGCCGCGAGCTCGCAGTCTCTGCGTCCAGTATCTCGGGGCAGTTGAGCAACTCCCAAGTATTTGTACTCCGGGCAGAGACGGATGGAGTCCGAGCCGGAGACCTGCAGGAGTGCGTCCCCGCTCAGCAGGGCCCCACGGGCAGCACGAGCCCCTTCACCTCGAATGTCAACCAAGGCTTCAGTTTTCCCCGCGCCGAGATTGACCCGGAAACGGAGGAGTCGGAGGGTCTCAAGAATGACACGGACGAGCTGGGGAAGCTGAGCCTGCAAATCAGCAGGGCAGTCAAAGTCAGCAAGGACCGCGAGGTCATCAGCCCACCCAATGGGCTTAACACCGGGCGGTAAGCCAACCTCAACTCCAGCACTGGTGTGAGTAATGCCGAGCTGCGCAGTGGCACGCTGTATGTGCTGCAATCCAACAGCAAAGAGCGCTCCGAACAGGATGTCAGCGAGGCCATCCCCGGGACGAGAGCCACGGGAGGCAAGGAAGATGTTGGAGGAGCCCGACAAGGACCAGTGGGATAGCGCCACACAGTCACGGAGCAGGGCAGCAACATCGTCAGCGACCCCTAAAGCAGCAAGAGCTCCTTGTTGCTGAAGCTGCAAGACAAGACCTGCGAGGTGATGGTGCTCTGGCACCTGGGCATCTGCTGCGAAGCCGTCAAAGAGCAAGTCCCGACTGGCCTCATAATAGGCGGCTTGGATGTCAACAAAGACAACGGCCAAACAACGCCCAGCTGAAACAGAGAGGTCCCAAGCACACCGAAAAGCGGCGAGAGCGAACCCCGTGTGTACCCCTTTGCGCCCTCCCAACTGCATGGGCTCATAGCGAGAGAGGATGTGCCCTCCGATGGTCGACCGAAGGTGCGAGTGCCATAACTTGGCAACGCCATTATAAGAAGGGCAATGGATCGATAGTTTGCCGGCAGGGATGCAGGCCCTTTTTTATAAAGGGCACATACAATAGCGGCCTTGAAGTCAAAGGGCTCCCGGCCTTGAAGGGCAATCCTGGCGCATAGGGGCCAAAGCCAGCGGCCGGCATGGGCGCCCTGCGACCGCCAGAGCTCATTACGAAGTCCATCCGGTCCAGGGGCTTTAGCCGGGGCTTGGCGGATGCAGAGCTGCTCCAGCTGGAGCAGAGAGGGGACCGCTTCAAAGCACGGGAGGCAGGGCGAGGACATCCAGCGGGCCGCCGCCTGGGACAATTGCGCGGCCTCAACCCTGCTGGCTCCTTCTTGGGCGCGAAATTGATCTTCAAGCTCCGGATCAATGTCGTATCCCCCAGCCGCATGGACGGCCCGC